AATAGCGACCGCTGCAGGCTGCGGAGTGTAATCTACCCCTGGCAATTTTTCACGGTCAAGGTACTAAGAAGGAACGGTCTGCATGGTGCTTCTTCATTTTTCTGTACTAGGTTGTGTTCTGCTCATCCGATTTTCTTGGGGCTCAGGAGGGCATCTGGAGCCCCTTCTGCTCTTCCAACCCCGAGACTGCCTTTGGTTCTCCCTCTGAGCGCTCGGCTGCGTGCTGCGAGGTGCAGCGCGAGCATCGTGTCGTCTGTGGCCAGAAGCGGATCTGCTCGGGCCTCTTGGCACCGTAGGACTTGCTGGAAGGACTTGCCGCACATGGGCTCTACGATACTCGGGGACCTTATAAGGGAATCCTACTCTGTGGGGTCGATATTCGGACGGAAACCCCACATCAGATTTGAGGTGTCGCTCTCCACAGCTTGTCGGTGGATGTGTTGAGCGAAGGCCAGCAGCAGCTTCGTGCGGAAACTCCTTCACTTAGCCATTGAACCCTGTCACTCACAGATTTGAAGCCCTCCGAGAAGGACTTTAGGTTGCTCTCCAACTTCGGTGTAGGAGCTGCAGCTCCCAACCAGATATTTTTTTGCCACCTGCTAAGCAGCTGGATAGCCAGCAAGAAGCATCAACAATCTTCATTGCCGCGTCAATAAGTGCAGCTTCGGATTTCATTGTGCCCACTACAGGACATTCTTTCGTGCGGACCCTCAAAAAGCCATCTATCAAATTTCAAACCCTGAAGAATGTCCGGCTGAACCCTGATGGCCGCCCACCCAGTGTGGTGCACCGGCATGTGATTTTCTGTGATGCAACCCGAAATGTTCTTACGACATGGCGGAAACTTGGTAACTAGTCTTTAAAGAGGACCTCCCCCCCCCCCCCGCCCCAACAAAAATCAACTGACCCGGTTTTCATAAAGCTTGACTGTTCAGAAGACTGTTCCGCTGACACACAGATTCTGGGAGCATCGCTGCGGACCTATCCTGCGTTTTTCCAATACTCTGTGCGTCTTGAGCCTGAAGAGGAAACATCTTGCCAAGAGTCTTCATTCAAGACGGGAGCATCGCTGCGAACCTATCCTGCGTTTTTCCAATACTCTGTGCATCTTGAGCCTGAAGAGGAACATCTTGCCAAGAGTCTTCATTCAAGACGGTAAACATGTGATTTGAAGGGGCCATTTTTTGCTACACCCTTTCTGGCAAGTTGTCCGAGCATTCACTACGTAGCCCTTGGCTTTATGAAACTTGGTGGCCCCGGGAAGACCTCTTTGTGCCCGGATCCGTGGTGTGTGAGCTTTTTGAACGCTGCCTCCAAGAGGATGGACACGAGCTCGGCCTCGACGTGCGAATTTGAAGGGAGGTTTGAAGCATGAGAGAAGTGAGATGCTCCGGAATGTGCAGACCGAGGACACCCTCCTCTTGACATCAGCAACCTACAAGGGGGTTTCCGAAATTTGGGGTACCTTATTGGGGTCCTGTTTCTGAGGGAATCTTACAATCTGGGGGTCTACATTATGGGTCCGCATACTTTCCTAAACCCCCCACAAGTCTGCCCTCAGGCAGCAGCGTGGCCGGAGTCTGCTGCCAGGTGGAGAGCTGTTGCACCGTCGCCCCGGGCCTCCAGAGTTCCGGATGTACATTGCCCTTTTGCAGCACGAATGCTGCAACACTTCATGCTGAGAGAGTCGGTAGACTGTTCTGCTTCCATGTCAAGGATGGGCCAGAAACATAAGGTGGGGTGCAGGGTTGTTGAGCTGCGCTCCCTTCTCAGACCGAATAAAAATCCCCGACACTGGTCGAAGCCCGGAACCTGTGCAGTGGACTGAAAAGCCTACATGGGATTGGGGGATTTCGGGGTTCAAGCAGCCGCACTCAGTGCTGAGCTCAAGGCCCGGACTTTTTGAGCCCATCTGTGACAGGTGTGCACCAGAGCACAGCCGAGCTGGTCAGCGACCGACATTGAGATAACATCGTGAAGAGGGGGCTTAGACAATGCCTCCTCCTCTATCCGGGTGCTACGCTCGCAGCCAGGCAAGTCGCCTGTGGAGGATGCATAGCCTGTACACAAAAAAACTCTGCTGATTCACAAATCTTCATAACTTTGAAATCTCGGCGGTGGGCACGACGTACTTCTGCTCCTGCTTTCCACGCCGTCGGGAATCGAACGTGGAGATGCCAAACGAGCTAGGGATAAACTGCCCCAGAACAACTGTAAATCGCGCGTGCTGTGTTCAAGATTACCTGCGAGTCATGTGCGGAAAAAGAAGCACATCAGCTGTCTGCAGTTCGATGGCTGGGTGTGGTACGGTGGTTCTGCGGTGGTGTAAGAAAGGGCTTGCCCCCAAAGCAGGGAAGGAGGAGGGCGAAGCAGCAATTGGCGGTCAATTTACATCAGGAAAAGTTCGGGATGTTCGGGCCGCTCCCGCCTGCAACTGAGCACGAATTACCTTCTTGTCGATCTTCCCCGTGCTTGTGAGAGGAATGGCGTCCCAGACCTTGCTTCATCCTACATAGTCACTCTTTGTGAGCAAGCTGCTCTGGCCGGGACTGCACTGTAGCCGAATGCATGGTACAACGCCGCGCAACGCCAGTTTCCAGCCTAGCAATTTGCCACCGAAGTGTCCAGCACATCGTCCGGCAGCTGAAACTTCGCAAAGGCCCTGGACAGGTGCCTGAGAGTAGCGGGACATCGGATTCGGAACAATGTCACGGACATGGATGATATCGCCTCCCCATGTGTATGGGAAGAGCCGTGACGATTCTGCTCTAGGCCCATCCCAGCATCAGTTTTTGGGTCGTAGATTGAAAAATCCAATGCGCGCACGCGAATCAGCTCATCCAGTAGGCGTGAAGTGTAAGATGTGATGACAGGTTTCGCGATTTCAGGCAATTCTAAATGACAAGGTTGGAGTGGTCTGCGACCATGAAGCTGCAGTCTGAGCACGAATGCCGGGCAGATCGCAATCTCAACAATCTAACTCTTGTTGCAGCCAGCTCACTCTCGAGCTCTTTCAAGCAAGTTGTCTTTGGAAGCACCTGGGTGTAGAGTCACCTCAGCATGATTGGGCAGAAGGGCTGCCGATGCAGTCCTTCCCCCTCACATGTGCAACAGAAGGGTACATTATAGTAGCTTTGATTTGGTTAGACATTTCCAGTCTGAGCTCCGATACAGGAAGCCAACAGGAAGGTGAAACGCAGAGTTACTCGCTTACTCGGGCAGGGAGACCCAGGTCAACTGCCGCACTTAGATGGGCAGCTGTTAAGCTTCCACGAAGTGACAAAGACATGTATGCACCCGCTGGCAGGGTAGCGACAGTCGAGAGGCTACAGCGACAGGCCTCTCATCCCAACGTGGATGCCTTGGACAGTCTCTGCATGGAATGGCACCATGTGATGCATCTTCAATGGCTGTCCCGTGATAGCCGCACACCACGCAACCGTGATACACAGCCACTTCGCACGGAGCCCCGCCCTTCTGCTTACACTGAGCCTGAAGCCGCAACTGATTTCCCCACAGCTTTCGAGCAACCCAGTCAACCCAGGTTGCGGAACACCGACGACGGCCGCCGCACTAACTCCAGGCAAGCTGGTGAGGGCATTCCTGCAAGCTCTGCCATCTGTAGCCCATCAAAGCACACCCGCCATTGTGGGATTAGGGGAATTATTTTTACCGTTGGTCAGGTAGGGATCTTGGATCCCAGTCAGTTTAGTGGAGGCCTGCCGAGGTGGATGGTATCTGGCCTAGGGCCGCAGCACTACGATGTAGCGACACTCGCACACGGCAAGCTTGAGCTAGGACATAGTTACAGAACCCAAGGACAACCAACCCTAAATCCTCAACCCTCAACCCTAAACCCTAACTGCGTGTGCCAGCCCGAAGCTGCACATCGGATGAGGCTCGACATTAGCAGCCCCAATTTTGGAGCAACCGAAAGTCCAGACAACGCACGCGTTTCATCCACAACTGTGCTAACCTGTTTATGTCAGGTGTCGTCTTAGAATGCTAGCAGAACATCACTCTACCGTCTGTTTTATCTGTTTTCCATAGATCCCTCAAATACCCAACACACACGTGCGCCCTGCATACCTAAGCCCCAAAGATGCCCAAAGCGCAGAATGCTGCAGCAGAAAGGCTCCATGTCGATGGAAGAGATCCACTCTCCGCCTCCCAGCACCCGAACAGTATGTCATGTAGAAGTCGACAGCGAGAAGTACAGTTTGGCGCATCTCGGCACAAGAGGGGTGCCGTGTGCCAGTGCCCATGAATCTCTACTAGCAACACAGCTGTGAAGTCTAACACCACACCAGCTCTGCCTGACTTGATGACGTCCTTGGAGCGATCGCCTAAGTGCCAAACACTCTTCAGCACACTATGACATTGTTAACATCTCCCAACTTGGGCCTGCGTGAAATGCCACGGAATTGATGTACAATGTATCATATCTGTTGCCTGCTTCTGGCTCCTTGCAAAGCTAAGGCTACACCCCCCCACAATCGCACCTTAAGAAGTTGTAGCCTAGCAGCTGATGATGATGAAGCCGTCCTCGTCGAGCCTACAGAGCGCTTACCGAACATGTGCCTGGAAAAACAGAACACCCGCTTTCTTGCAGATTGCTGCGCGAAGGCTACGCCGAGCGCCACATTGGAACCTCTGCGCCTACACAAGCCTGAATTCATTTCTTCGTGTTACACAATTTCGAGACGCGATCGGGCTCCACATCATCTCCGGACAAACCTGACATGAAGCGCCGCCGAGGATCTTTGCGACGTCCCCGGTTATCAGCCAACCCTGGAAGAACTTGTCGGAAGCATCCACCTGGCACGGGCTTCAGCTGCCACGCTTTGAAGCGCTGATGAGGGAAGCGCGACTGGTCACTTATCTCAACTAAGAGGTATGGCTCAAGCTGATTCTGGAAGTCCGCTACAATGTAATTAAGGAACCGAAAGGCAAACAACTCTTGGGTGTGCTGAGCAATGTGCAACACGGCTGTCTTGTCACTAGTACATAACCGCCGCGCTGCTCATAAAGAGGGCGGCTGCTCCTAGTTCCACACATATGACTGCTGCGGAAACTTCCGTCAAGCCCACTCCGACCTGGAAGTACTCCTGGATGACCCACGGCCCGCGCACAAGCCTTGCACAGAGACGAAATCCCTAAACCCTAAACCCCATAAACCCATAAACCCTATCACTATTCTGGCCAGACATGACACCCGCACAGTGCAAGTTGCAAATCTAAGAACTCGCATAGCAGCATAGCAGCATAGCAGAGATGGTCAGAGATGGTCCATGGCCTTCGCCTGGCCAAACCTTTATGCTTGTCTTGCCTGTAAAGATGAGGAACATACCGTGCGGCCATCAACGTGATTGTCTCCATGCCGCTCCAAGAAGCAGCTCACCAGTTTGACCACACGGAGCATCGCGGCTCAGATCCTCAAACTGCGCGATGCGAACCTCCACTCCTTCGGCTGGTGTTGCGTTCGTGCGGGGTTGAGACTCTCTCTTCCCGGCGACAAGGATGCTTCAGAGGAAAGCCTGGCTTCATAACCTGTTCATGTGCGGGGGATGGGTCTACTGTAAGTTGGACTCGAAACAGGCCGCAAGTGCTGTAAGTGCCACTTGCCGTTGCTTTCTTGTGGAGTAGTAGGGTTCTCAATTTAGGTTGCATCGTTATGGGTCTGAGGTTGGTGAGGTTATGTGAAGGCAGTGGAAGGAAGGAAGTGCTCCACGAAGCACCTTCACATGCAACCGATTGTGCTAGGTGCCGAGTCTCCTGGAGTGGGCAAGCCGGCTTTAACCACGTTCTTGAAGGTGTCATTGACGCCTGGCACAGATGGCACAGCAAGTCTTGAATTCCCTGTCGCTGCATCCATTGCCCTCCATGAAGCTCAGCCTTTGATATTATGATCCGATCCACTTTTTTGATGCTATTCTAAAGGCGCTTTGTGGCAAGATCGACAAACAAGGCTTGACCAGCAAAGGAGGGAGCCCCTGGGCCAACAAACGTACGAGCAGATAGCCCCATAGAGCAGACAGCACCCCCAACTTCTCTTATCCTCCCTAAAAGTTCTTCTGAGGCACTCTTCGCCAAATCCGCGACTTTGCCGAGCCGTATTGACATCCTCCGCCCGGCAGGCTTGTAAAAGTGCTTCCGTGCAGCTAGGTGACTTCCCTCTTTAGCCTATACCCCCCTTAGAACCTTAATCCTTAATAAAAAATAGTATTTTTAACATCCTCTTGGGTTTTATATAAACAAACAATAATTCCCAAGGGGGATATATAGCAGCCTGTAGCAGCGCTGCCCTCCTAAATCTGCAGCCCAAGCGTCGAACCGAGAGGATTGGTCTCCGTCATTCCCCACACCTCCCCGCATCTTGGGACAGGACAGGTCTTCTGAGAAGCTACGCTTAGCTTCACAGGGTAGTCTCCAGAAAGCTCTCAGATGTTCCTATGCTCCTCTTCGTGTCTGCTTCTCGTCCCTTCTTTCATGCCGCCTTTTGAAATCAAGGAAGCAAGAGGTCGACATTCCTGAAGGTTTCGTTAAGGGTGCAGCACGTAGCCACCTGCAACTCCGAAGCCTTGCTATGGCAACTTCGAGCTGCGCCTTTTTTCTAAAGATCCCGGAACTTTCGCAACTGCTTGCCAACGGCTTCGCAAGGCACTCGGCCAGAGCCTGAATGAACTCCACACCGAGGTTATCCTTGGTGAGCTGCATGCAGCCCATGCAACTCAGCATAGCTTAACGTCTCAGGTCTTGCGGGAGGTATCCTTTGCCACTACAGCTACGGGTAAGGATGGTGACCCTCCTTTCACGAGGCTCGCGTCGTTCGGGGGGCTCCGCGCTGCACAAAACAACCCGATGCTCGCAGTCACAAGCATCCCGTTCACCAGGCCAGTCGGCATTACGGTGGCAAGCCACTGTGTGGTGGACGACAGCGCGAGTTCCGACTCAGTTACTGTTCAGCTGAAGGGAATCCTGAGGCCCTGAATATCTCAACCCGAACAATCACGACCCCTCCAAAGGCCAAGGAGTTGCCAGGTAGCTAAGTACCAACGCATCATCTCCGGAGCTGGGGCGGAGCCTGGACAGGAGTCCGAAGCATGCGCAAGGCTTGTTGTGTGTGGGAAGGCTCTTGCAAGCGTGTCCATGAAGCGCTTGGGCATGGGGAGCTTGGAGGTCAGTAGCAGTACAGCTCAGTTTGTGCAGTTAAAAATAATCAGTTGGCAGAGTGCCGTAAAACTTTTGTCTTAGCTGGTCCCAGTGCCCTCGGCGAAGACATTGCGCATTGCCAGCTCCCAGCACAATGAGGCTGCACCGACTACAAGGCTAGCTTTTTGTTCTTCTATCCGGATTTCGTGGTTCAGAGATGTTCTGAGTCTGAGTCTTTCAGCTCCGCAACAGCTGCTCAGCTCAAGTCAGCAGGAGGCTGAAGTCGTCTCACAAGCTCTGATCTGGGTGGCTCGTTTTGTAGTTCATGCGCGGCACCTTTTCCCAAGGCAGTCCCGAAGGTGCATTCATGGGTATTGCATTTCTTCCAGTGTGGGAAGTTGAGGGTTGGGAAGCATACGTTGGCTGTCGTTCGTCCAAGAGAAACTCGCACTGCATTTCACAAAGTCACAAAGTTAGCACCAGCCTCCACAAACGAGGCGCTGTAAAGCCAACAGGGGCTTCCACTTCGCAACTCCTTCAGAGACTGGGAAAGACTATGCAGTCGTTACACGCAACGCCTCAGATTGAAAGCACGTGAGTGATAGGAAGGTGCAGACTTCCATGCAATTTCTGGCGATACATACACTACAGCACTGAGCTGCTACTCAGCTTGACATGCTCCAGATCTGGCTTCAGACATCTTCCAGCCTATGAAAGCATCAGCTCATCTCCGAGTATAAGGCCGAACAGCAACCATTCAGGGCGGCAGGCTGCAAATGGAAATGTCAACGGCCCTGAACCCTGCGCACTTCCGTTTCATCACACAGAACTACCATGGCCATAATCACACTTTCAACAAAAGGCGCCTTCTTTCTGGATCTGTGCACGCACACCCTGCCAAACGGTGGGTACGCCGCACGACAGCTGCACTTTCCTTTGGTGGGCACACTGGAAGAAATGAATGCAAACTTGGGAGGTTTAGGGTTTAGGGTCTAGGGTTTAGGGCAACTGCGCTCCAGGCTTCCAGTCTCCGATCGTCTGCAGCAGGGATCCTCCACTTCAGGGAAGGCTTCATCTTAGCTAGAAGATACTTTAGCCAAAGAGACTTCTGCAATCACCTGGTTCACACAATGCTCTCCCTTTTATTCTGACAAACACTTACCACTCAAAACCAAGCCGGTGAAAGCGGCCCTCTGTGCCTGGGTCCGTGAAGTGGGAGGTGAAGACAGCGCGGCAGCCCATCATGAGAATGTTGAAGGGCACACCCCAACCTTGAGAAGCATCCCTGAAAAGTGCTGGTGTAATATTTGTATCATGGGGCCAGGTGATGGCAGGGGGTTGAGATAAGGAGGCTTGCCTTTCTACGGAGACTTTGGAAGGAGAGGAACGGCTCCGGCCGACCTAGTATCAAGAAACCTATAGTTTGGGAAATCCACCAGTTGTTATCCGTTAAGCCATGAGCAGGGGCGCGCCTAACCTTTTTTACTCAGAGGGCTTGAGCGTCACAGGTAAGTGCAACATACATGGAAGCAAAAGTGGAGGGAATGCACAGATATAAAATACACCCCCCTCGTTGAAGCGTGAGAATGCTGAAACGCAGTCAACGAATCCACGGCAAGCACTACGTGCTGCGTTTTGCTCCTCTACTGTATGTTCAAAGTGCGCTCACCCGAGTTTTAATTCAGGTTCAACGCCACAGATCACCGCGCACCAGCTTAAGAAATTTGAAGCGCTGGCGGGGATACAAAGGTGGCTCGTGCAAAACAGTGGTTCACTCAGCACCGACCTCAAAAGAAAGGAAAACAGAGCGTCACGGTCAAGATGCTAAGCTACTCCAGCAGAATTGCGGAACTCAGGACTCACCAGCTGCGATCTCGATGGTCGTAGCGCCAAGGTCCACGGGAGTGCTCCGTAGTGCGACTCCCTGAGCTCCACCAGGATCCTTGATCCTGCCACTGGCGATCACGCCAGGAACTTGAGGAATGCCAGTCGCCCTGCGACCAAGTGTTGTCGCTCCACGACCAGCCACGATTCGTGTCACGATCGGCCTCCCCAAAACGGGGGGCATTTTGCGAGGTCCTTCTTGCATCCGCCCGCGCCTGAGCGGCCCGGGACGCTTCTGCCGATTCCTTCATCCTTCGGCACGTCTCCTTTGCCCCACCATAATTCTCAGAGAGGATCTCGGCCAAAAAGACTGCCAGATGCTCTTCCTCATCGAAGTCCGGGATGCCAATGATGCCCTCCGTAAAGGTGAGGACGTGGGAAACCGCACGGGTGACGCGGATGGTCCGGGCGAATTCCTTCACGCCCATGAAGTTGCCGAGCCAAGCGTAGCCCATAGGTTCGAGGTTGGGGTCGTCAATGAGGCCGGCCAGGACGAGATCGTCGGCATTCTTGTCAAAGAACACCATGCGGGCCAGTCCCTCATGATTGACCTTTTTGTTCTCCCAGGCTTTGTTGGAGCCGTAGCCCAACTCACGTTGTTCGCGGGAACGACCTTGATTGGGAAGATAAGCGCATGCCACGCAGTCCTGAATAGTGAGCCGCCTTCTCGTCCAGCCGCCCTTGATAGCGTGGATCGCGTAGGTGTCGTCCTGGTCGAACTTGTCTACCATCGACGTGTAGCCGTGCTTCATGAAGCCTTTGAGATTCTGGCGTGCTAACATGATAGCTCGGCCATCTACGCTCTGCTGTCCCCTCAAATCATGCGTTCCAGCGGCCTGGCGAATCTTCGCGGCATCCAACTCCCAAAGGCCCTTCCCAAACTGCTCCGCCAGGGCGTCCAAGACATGGGAGCGCTCACGCGCCATCCACATTCTGAAGGCGCTCTGGGTGGCCCCACGGGTGACGTAGTAGCCACAGTGGAAACACTTGTGCTGACCTTCGAGACGGAGCTTGCCACAACTGACGCACTGAACCTGCGTGATTCCCCTGTTCCATCCAGGACGCGGCGCCTGGGTTGCCGGTGCCGTAGAGCGGGTAGCCATTCCTTCATCAGGGACCACTTGCAACTGACCTTCAGTCAAACGGTTCCTTCCTGAAGGTGACACCTCGATGACATCGGCGTCAGTGTTGAAGCGAACGCGTAGAGGTGGAAGTTCAGGAACGGTGCTCTCGACCTCCTCAAGGATGGGAACATCGAACTCCTCCTTGACCAATGGGGCTTCTTCATGCTCGACATCAGGCTCCTCTTGTGCTTCTTGGAGAGGTCCCACGGCTTCAACAACCATGCTTCCGGAAGATTCGGCCTCCTCTACCTGAGGGGCATTCTCTTCCTCCTCCCGTCCTTCGGGCCCATCCGTGGCGGACCACAAAATTTCATCGGTCCTTGTGTCACGAATATAAAGGACCGTGGACCCGGAGATAGCCTCTCGGCAGAGGACGCCGTCTGATCGGGAGTAAAACAGTCCGGCGCCCTGACTGAGGGCCTCCATGGTGTTGATGACGATCTCGACGGGGCGATCGCTCCTCACGCCAGGGACGTTTTCTCCCGGCCCTACCTCCCGGTCGGCAAAATACACAAAGGCATTCGCGGTGTGGTGCCCGGGGATAAAGCAGGAGTCCAAGATGGCAAAGGCTCGATCCTTGTAGGTGCGGTGGTAGAGCCTGCGTGGAATCTTCTCCAGGGGCAAAACCGGCCGACCTTCCCAGGTGGCAGAATGCACATCCATTTCTGCTTCTGGGATCATGCTGAACCAGGCCTCAGCAAGGATCGAGTCGGGCACCCCTTTCATAGCATCCTTGGAGATGCCTTGGTTCGCCCTAATAAGGGTAGGGTACCCTCCTAGGCCGTAGTACTCGGCGAGGGGGTGGTTGCGGTCGATTCGCAGCTGGAACCTGCTGCGATTGTCGTTCTTGACGACAGTGAGGAGCATCCCGAGGCCATAATCCTTGTTCGTCTTCTTGTTCCAGGCCCCGAGAATCCTCCTCGTAGAGCACCACTATCCATCGCCCTGCAGGCCCGGGACGATCTTGCCACGAACAATGCCGGACAAGGCAGTCTTGTGATGCTGGGGAATGTTGACATACTTGAAGTTCGGCATCTCGTCCTGAAGGATGTCAACCCACTCGGCCTCACCTTCCGGTGGGCATAAATGGATTGCGTCCCAATCGAGGCCCAGCATGTCGACGAGGCACCAATCGTCATCGGTTGTGTAGTAGCCGGACTTGATGGGCTCGTCGTAGTCAGCCTCGTGTGGGCCCTTCTTTGCCCGTTTGGGGGCACTGGACTCAGGGTCGGTCCGCTGACGACTGTAGACCTCCCCCCTGGCCAAAAGCTTCTCCTTAGTCTCCCGCGCCGTTGACGACGATGACGGAACAACGACGGCCTCCCCTGGACGGGGGGCATTTTCCTCGCTCTTCTTGATCATCTCGTCGTAGTCCTCGCGGGTAACATATTCCCCATCTCCCAGGTGAACGTGGTCCTTGAAGTCCCGGTGGACAAAGTGGTTCGGCGCGGTGTCGGGGAACTGCTCCTGGGGTCCTTGGAAGTAGATGTCGTCCCACGGGTCAGCCTCGACAAGCGGCTGATATGTGGGCGCTACTCTTCCTTTACGGAAGTGATTCAGGAGCTTCTCCTCCACCTGCACGTCCACAGCGAACTTGACGTTAGGCTTTGAGACGTGGCCGTAGTTTTGCAGGATCAGGTCGATGTCAGCTTCCTTGAAGAAGGAGCATTGGTGACGAAGGACCATAATCCTGGCGGTAAAACCCAACCACCTCAACAGCTGCAAACGATAGGCGCTGTCCTCCTGGAAGTGAAAGTGATCGAACTTGCGGATCTGGCTTGCAGGCGTATTGAAATGCTTGACGGCCAGCCCAAGTTGGGCGGCATAGTCGAGCAAATCCGCCATGATGGTACCCCAGTCGCGCGGGAGACAGTAGTTGGCAGCGTCGGTCGCAGACGTGAGCAGCACAGTACCCACTGACGCCCGTGACTGTAGATCCGCCAACTTGCCTATCTCCCGGAGAACCTTTGGTCCAATGAACTCCCAGCTCCCCTTTGCCATGTGCGGGTAACCACGAAGCCACTCCGTCTTGCTCTTGAAGCCTGGGTCCAAAAACAGACCTCTTTCGCCGACGAACTCGTTCCCGTTCCAGATCATCATGAGGTCAATGCTCACCTGACCACTGGCGCCAGTTTCACGCTCCAGTTGGGTGACTTTTCCCACGGCGAGCTCTACGAGCCGCGTGAGATTCGCACCCCATGTAGGAATGTACTCAACGCCAAGATGATGTGGGAAGGCATTGCCGCGGTTGGCCTTGATGTCTGCCAGCAGATCTGTCTTCCAATTTCCTTCAGTGAGGAACGTAGTTGTAGAGTCTGCGACGATGACAAGGTAGCGCAAACGGCCTCGAGTAGACTCGGGCTGGAGCATGGCCAAACCTTGATCGGTGAGCTTTCCGATTTTGGCCACCAAACCAGCCTCCCTGACGTCACTGAGGGCATATTCGCATGCCAGTGGCCGCGGCAAATACTTGTAGAAGTTGTTCACGCTGGCTTCATCCTCCTGGAAAGGCGCCATGGTGCGGTATTCGGAAGACAATGAAGTCTCCCATAACCGGCGATCCCACCACTGGCGCAGGACCTCCGTCGGAGCAACGATTCCAGCGTTGGTGGCTTCCATGTCCGGCGCGCAGAACTCTGCCGCGAGAATGCAGCAGGCAGCTAATGCGTTAGTTTGTTCAGTTTTGCGAGTGCAAACGTGTTTGTGGTCACACGAAAATTGTTGTTGTGCACAAGCTGCATAGTTAGAACGCCTATCGCAAAAGCTTTTCCAATCAATGTGGATGCAATCAGTCATGGCATGTGAATAGTTCTCACTGTCCTTAAGGTCCTGGCCTCTAGACTCGCCATGAACATGACTGCGATCACACTTGTGCGCTGCCAGCCGCTGCAATGGAATCGACGACGCAATGGTCCAAGCTTTCCTTAGTGGTAATCCTTGGTGATTCGTAATCCCCAACATGCAACCATCGCAACGGTAGAACTCAAGTCCAAAATCATTAACCATATGCTGAACATGGTCCCACTTCCAATAGTCGCAATCCTTAGGGAGTTCGAAGGCAACCTGTGGTTTGTACTCTTTGAGCTTCCTAATGAATTTTCGGAACTGCTTGAGGAGTTTGCAAAACAGTTCCTGATGCTGTTCCCACTTTGGGCTGTCAGGCGTCATGCGATTCCACGGACAACCACCAGTACACGGAAGCGACGCATAAACTAAAATTGGCTTAGATGCTCCCCCCTCGTCGCAGAGGGTACTAATTTTCT